GTATTTCTTCGTCACAAACATCATAATTTAATTATTGAAACAATAATTACACATATTAAAATTAATATTTATGAAGAAAAGCTATATGGTTTAATCGATACTGATACGTAGCGAATGTTTGTTTTCAGTTTCGGCAGAAGTTTCGGTTGGACTCTATTTATTTGCGCTATATCGGAAGATAACGTTTCTTTTATAAACTCTTAAATAAGCTATAGATACAAAACGTACACTATTGATGCAATAATGTTTTGTATGTTTAATTGAATACACCGTGCGACCTCAATCTTTTTTTTAAATTTATGTTGTCCTATCGAAATTACTTGTAAGTGCATGTATTGCATAATTTTCTTACCGTCTTTCTGATTGTGAACATTCTTCTCACGTTCTTGTCAAGAGGTTCTAAAGGCGAAGGTCGAACTCATGCGTTTTCGCGGTGAAAAGATTCTGAGAGGATGGCGACTCTTGTCCTGATAATTGTAATGGGTAGGAAGATATAGTCGCACGGAATAATGCTAAAAAGAAAAAAGAGGATGGATCGTGTGCGATTTTAGGAGTGCGAGGGATCGAAAGGAAAGGAGAGGCGACGCGTTTTCCTATCAAAAGGTGCCGGCACCAAAGGTGCGCTCACCGTTAAATCGGCCAATGGCAATAAGTAACCGATTGCCGAGTGGCGTTGTAGGTGCGCGCAGATAATTAAAAGACGATACAATAAACTACATATCGTTGGCCGTAAAGCAGCCGGGCTGCTAAAACCCACGGTGTGGGCCGGTACCACGAGCGATCACTTAAGCCTGGAACCCACGCAGACATCTTGTCTCACCGCCACTCTCCGGGACCCTGCGGCAATAACCATAAGGCATCCTTTATTCCGACGATCCCGCTGGATCTCTTTTTTGCCGATCTTAGAGAACGATGACCACGGACCCTTCCATAATGCGACAGAATATCGGACATGTGTCAATGCGTTTCGAGTAGAACGTGTTTCCAAGAAGTGTCTCTCGAGCGATCAGCCCAGGGTGGTCCAATTCGATTTGCCTTTCTGGTCCAAGTTGGATAATACAATATTGATGATTCAATGTTTCGAGTTTGGAATTGATTTAATCGACAATTTTTTGCGTGATGTGTTTTTTGATAGATATACATAATTATTAATGAAGAATGTTCTAATTTCACATGAACAATCGTATTAGCGTCGTATAAATTGTATTGCTAGTCATCAATAACGATACTTCATTTCTCCCCGGTATTTCACAGCGAGATGATAAACAGCCAGTCGGTCAGGACGCGACTAATCGTCTGAGGAACGCTGTGTAGCGTTTAATCTCTGAATTTAATTCGCCTACGTTGACGTTAAATCAAAAAGTGGCGAAGGGTAACAAGTAGTCGTCGCGAGATTACGACTTTGAGACACGCACGCTGTATAAGGTCCTTGGTATGGGGCTTGCCCCTCGTACTTCGAACGCTGTCCGACGTTCGTTGCATCGAATTTATCATTGACGTTTTGCTCCTGACGTGGCGTTCTCGCCGAGGAGAGGAGGAATCTCCACGCGAAATGAGCTCCGTACGTTACAGAATAGACTCCGGCGTTTATTTATTGTGTCAGGGAGAAATACTATTTTTTTCTCTTCTCTTTTCCGTTTTGTCGTCTCGAGGAGGATATTCAGAGGGAAGTAACGTGATAATTTTGCTTTCAGATTTGTCGGACGTGCCGGAAAACCTGCCATTGCCAGCGCCGGGCTCGGAAAGTCCTCCTCAAGCCCTGAACTACTCGCAGATAGCCTCGGCGGCGGTCGCCGTGTCTCAGAGCGCCCAAGACCCCTCGGTCTCGAGTACGGAGACCCTGCTGAGGAATATCCAGGGCCTGCTCAAGGTCGCGGCTGACAACGCGAGGCAGCAGGAGAGGCAAATCAACTACGAGAAAGGTCAGTGGCAGGGCTTTCTTAAGACACTTGAGGGCGCTCTCCACAATTTCATTATCTTCCAGCTCTCCCAGAACCACATTAAGAGGCATTAGTCCCTGTCCCGTCGACGAGACTCCGCTACTCCTCCCCTCGTGCTCCTCTCTCTCTCTCTCTCTCTCTCTCTCTCTCTCTCTCTCTCTCTCTCTCTCCGCTCTTTATCCAGTCTCATCTACCGCGTCGCCTCCTTCTCACGCTTCAACCTTTACGCTTGACTTGCTTGTACCGCGTTAAGACCATGGATACGTGAAATGAGAATGATAATAGTCGGGGAGAGCTGGACATCCGAAAGTGAAGACCTGTAAGCGTAAAGGCACGATGTACCGTGTGTGCACAAATAATGTACATAAAATCTCGCTTTTTATCTCAATATTAACTTTTAACGAACATCTTGATACTATTTATTGATGCTTTTCTTTGCGCAAAGTGTTTTAATATCCATGCGATGAATCGCAGGATATATTCATAACGCATTATTACTGACAAAATTTTCTTAAATCGATACACCGAGCGCGCAGACCTTCGAGCCGCGTCCCCCGAGAATGATTCACGTAAATATTTTGCGCAAGAAACAGCTTGAAACTCCCCAATGAGATATTGCTCGCAAAAACGTCGTCTTCGGCGTGTTAAGATTAAATTTAAGTGTCGCCGTTGCCGTAGATAGAGTTTGTACCGTAGATTGGTTACGATGAATGTAGGCAAGGCCCATTAAGAATGAGTCGGCGCGGCGCGAGATGACGTGCAGCATACGACTTCTTTCTCATTAACGCGCGTGATAAATCGGTCGGCGTTATTATTAAATATGTTCGTCGCGAGATCTCGGAACGCCAGATGAGAAGAAAAAAGGAAGAAAGAGGTCGGCGTACGGAATCGTTTCTCACGATGTCGAGGTTGCTTTGCGATTGAGGCAAACTTAACTTAACGACGTAACAAACATTTCGATGTACCTAAATCGTCAAGCCGTTTATGCGATATCGATTGAATCTCGTTCCGATTTGATTTTGCAACGACAATAATTGGTAGAGATTTGTGTTACGAAGAAAACGAGTAAGTAAAGTAATACAATATATAATGTACGCGTATATTCCTATATTATACATGCTATCATATTTATATAACATAGAAGTTTGCAGCAACATTGCTAGAACGTTAGCAGTGTTGTTGAAATATTAATTATAATGTTGCTGCAATATTACTCGAATCTATGCCGTACGGAATATATACATACATAAGTAAATGAATTGCCATTATAGTCGTTAGTTATTACTGCTAGTATGTGATAGTTGTATTATCGAAGGTATTATTATTAATAGTACGAATAAAAAGCGCTACGTAAAATGACACATCAAGTTGATTTCAGCCGAGCGATCGCAATTCTGCGACGTAATATTGGTGAATACGTAAAAAAAAGAAAAAAACTTGAAAAATATGAAATCTTATTCTTAAAGCAATTGTCCAATTTCGCTCGCAAACTGTCGTCGATCCACTATATCCACTCCTATTTTAACATATCACTATCGATTATTATTGAATTATTATTGAAGTCTCGTATTCTTCGTGTCATGAATTTAACGTCGATTTTTCTATCATTTTTTAATTTGGGATATAAACATCGTCTAGGATATTGTAAAATCGTACTTTTCAGATATTGCTTTAGATGCTTTTTTTAAAATTATTCTCGTTCCGTAGCACTAGAAGTAGCAAAGCGATTATTATTGACTATTTTTATTTTTTTAATCGAAATTATATTTCTTATGTAAAAGACAGGATTCTGAAATTTTTTCAATCTTTCAATAATTATGTTCTTTATACTAATAAAATATTTGATTTTTTATCACTTTCTTTCTTTTTATAATAATTTAATTGCCTGGTCCCTGTCAGTAAGTAAAAAAATGTTGATACTTCTAGTGTTAAGCAACACACACTTCAGGTCAGGGATACGGAATCAAACTGTCACATTTAGTGCCAAATGTAGCCCGAACGCGCACATCGGCGAATTCGGTTCGGAAAGACTGACCGACAAGAACGTATCGCAATCTTCAGCGAGACGGGCGAAACTTTCGACGTACGAACGTCCCTTATCTGCGTTTTCGCAGATTTTAAGTGGTGGATCCCCATAAACGCGCCGATCCGATATCCAGCCGCGTCGAGTACCGGGTCGGAGCACGTTTAATAAATTCCGAGCGAAACGTAACCCCGGCACTTTAATTACCCATTAGCCGATACAAAGTGTCATTTTCAGGGCCGTTAACTAATGCGTTTTGCTGCGGCCCTAACGTTAGGAATGCCGGGCATCGCGATCTCAGCGGCGGTGGTAAGGCTTAAGCGGTTCCTCGCGGTTGCTGCATGTACTCGGCCGACTCGTAGGTTAGATTCTCGAGGCGGAGAGATCCGATAAAAAGAAACCGACGACGCTCCCATAGCCCGATGCCCCGTCGTCGTGCTTCCTCACCCCCTTGCCACCACTCTCACTGCCACCCTCGCGACACAGCGACTTAAGGAACAGTTCTCGACGACCGTGCCCTTCTACGTGCTACGAAGTGCACGAGCACGGATCCACTTGCATAATTCGTGCTTTCCTTTCGATGCTCTCAACGACATCCCGCTAACGATATCGCTGACGTGGGCTCCCGTTAAACGCGAACGGAACTGCCCGTACTAACGAGCGGAAAAATGTTACACCGAACACATTTTTTAGTTTCTTTTTCAATACATATAAGGGGATTCTTTATCACCTGCGGAGAGAGAACGTCCTCCTTCTGAAGTTTGGTTTTTAAAAAATATTTATGCAAAGTGTTATATATATATATTTGATCTTTCTGAAACGTTTAATCACAATGTCGATTCTGAAAAAATTTTTTAATTTAAGAAATTCCTATAGGTATAAAAAATATACACAGATTTTATTATATTTTTTTTTATAATTTTAAATAATAAAACGTTTATGAATTATATACTTAAATAATACTTTTTCACAGTCTATATATAATGTCAATAATAATCTCAATATTATATCATTTCATATTTGATTTTAAAAAATTTCACTTGCAAAGCTCCCTTGACAAATTTCTGAATCCGCCGATGTTCTTTATCGAAAAACTCTTTGAACTGGTGCACAAGGAATAATAAGTTGCAGTTAAAGAAATAATAACTTATTTCTTTTCAACTTATTACACATTATCGTGTCGCACTAATTTCGAGAGTTCATCGATAAAGAATCGAGCGATATTATCAATATCAATTTGATACAGATACTTTCAATTGTTTTTCATGTATTAGCTTTCGTATCGGGTAGTCTATGATTCATTCATCGCGCAACGAGCGATTGATATCGCAATCGAGAGACCTCTTTCCCGTTCCGCGACTCCTTGATCGGCCCAATAAACGCGTGGATTTTAATAGAAAGAGACACGCTTGGTCGAGAAGCGGCCGAGAAGCCAACTCGCGGGCATCGAGCACGTGAACGCTAACGAGTTCATTTGGCGCGCGCTGCGACGTTAAGCTCGGAATGCGCAGCGCGGCGGTTGTTGCTGGTCGGCTTAACAGATTCTGCGCGCGCGTTCGACGCGAAGATCTCCATGCAGCGCTAGTCGATCGACAGGTCGGGGAAAAGGGGTGAAGGAGGAGGAGGAGGAGGAGGAGGAGGTGGTGATGGTGATGGTGGTTGAGGATAAAGGGTGCTGCTGTGGTATATAGAGAAAAGAAAGAAAACAAAAGAGCAGCGGCAGTCAACGACGACGACGACGACGACGACGACGACGATGGGGGTGGCGGGGCCACGAGGGAAGTAGTCGGAAAGAGAGTAAGAGAGGCCCGATTTAATACTCGAACGAGCCAGCAGCTCGTTTTACACCAGATGGTTTTACATACGACCACTATCGTGTTACGAACCTTCAGCCGTATGGGTGCATCCGTATCTCTCCGTCGGCACGAGATCGGAGCGCCTTTATACGTGCGTCGCGCGCACGCACACACGCATACACATGCGAGCACACACGCGTACCGCGCCCGGCCCGTCGATTTTAAGCCAATCCGGACGGGATGCCTTCGATGCGGAATATTATCGATATTATTCGTCTTTGTCAGGCGGACCTCTCACGCGATCGACCTGTTTGTGTCATACGGGGAACCAAGAACCGTCATGGTTCCTAAAAAGAGCGGAGATCTGGAAACGTTTAATTATTTCCACTTGCATATCGTAGCTCGACTCGGGTTTCGTAATACGTTAATACATCATGGAACACATACGGATAGGATTTTACGGCCAATGCGAACGGAAATTCTCTGAGAATCGCGACAGTTTTATTAAAAGGACTCTCGGCTCGGGATTAGGTAGTATTTAAAGCAAAATACGTTGCGGATGCGGCAGAATGAGAATTGCTTGAAAACAATCGCGTACAGCTAATTGTTTGGACGATGATCAGGAAAAATTGTTAATAATATTTAGCATTTTTCTTTATCACTTTTTGAATCATATCTAAGAATTGTTTATTACTACTGTAATCCTCCCAGTCTGTCACTGTGCAATTCAGAAGCCTTAAGGATCCTCTACATAGAAATCGTAGGTCATGGAGTGACCTCTTAAGTCATAGGAAACCAACTCATCACAATCAGATATAAGAAGAATCCTCGATTAGAAGGTCAGTTTCCTACGACTTAAGACTCCACGACCATCTACGACAGCGTTTTCTCGCATGATTTAGAGCGTTGTTTTCCCTACAATTGAAAAGGATAATTGCGACGAGAGATCCTGTTTGGAAGTAAATAATTCTATCGATCCTCCCGTCTCTCTTTTTTTTTTTTATCAAAAATTTACGACATTCTCATTTATCGTTCGAGAACATTTGTTCGTTATGTACGAAACGAGTAAGCACGCACGCATTCTCTTAACTTAAGAAGAAGCGTTTTACGTGAGAAAAAGAAGCGATCGTCTCTGTCTCGTTACCGCCGGTAAGTTACATGCC